GTCATTCAGCCCAATTGTTGGTGTCATTGGGAGGAATTGTGCCCCATCCTTGGTTTCATTGTGCTCACCTGTTGGTGTTACTGGGTGGAATTGTGCCCCATTATTGTCATTGGGCAAAAGTGTTTGTGTCATTGGGAGGAATTGTGCCCCATCGTTGGTGTCAGTGGGAGGGATTGAGCCCTACCATTGGTGTCAGTGGGAGGGATTGAGCCCTACCATTGGTGTCAGTAGGCGGAATTGTGCCTCATCATTGATGTCATTCAACCCAATTGTTGGTTCCATTGGGAGGAATTGTGCCCCATCATTGGTGTCATTGGGCCCAACTGTAGGTGTTATTGGGTGGAATTGTGCCTCATCGTTGGTGTCATTGTGCCCAACTGTTGGTGTTACTGGGCAAAATTTTGCCCCATCATTGGAGTCATTTGTCACAAGTGTTTGTGTCATTGGGAGGAATTGTGCCCCATTGTTGGTGTCAGTGGGAGGGATTGAGCCCTACCGTTGGTGTCAGTTGGAGGAATTGTACCCCCGTTATTGGTGTCATTCAGCCCAATTGTTGGTGTCATTGGGAGGTATTGTGCCAAATCATTGGTGTCATTGGGTCCAACTGTTGGTGGTATTGGGTGGAATTGTGCCCCATTATTGATGTCATTGGGCACAATTGTTTGTGTCATTGGGAGGAATGGTGCCTCATCTACTAGATTGTAAGCTGTAACGAGCCGGGCCCTCTGTTTCCTCTTGTACCAAATTGTATTGTAACTGTAATATCTGCCTTCATTTTGTAAAGCGCTGCGCACACTGTTGGCGATATATAAATCCTGTATAATAATAATAATCATTCAGCCAAATTGTTTGTGTTATAAATATAATGTGAAAATGATATAAGTATAATGTGAAACCAAAACCACCCTTGCTCCTACACCAATTCCAAATTGGAAAAAAAACTTTCAACCCCCTGAAAGCTTAAACTCAAATCAATAGATCCAAACAGGAATCTACCCTCTTTCAATAAATCTACTATATATGTGACAACAAAATAATCCCCATATACTTTCTACAAAATCATAAATCCAGTGTCTCTGTGATTTAAATCCAATAATATAAAGTCCAGTGTCTCAATAACGAAAAAATATATAAAATTAAAAATAAAAATAAAAATAAAATAAAAAGAAATGAAAAAATGTCTATTTCTTGCAGTGTTGATTGTTGTGAAGAACCACCAGTAGATGAAACTCACGCCTTTTGTATATATATATAACTGGAAATCCTCCAAAGAAGCTTTATCCTCCTCTCCTCCTTCGCTTCCTGTTAGGATGATCTTGCCATGCCTTCCACATCCATAGGTTTATAAAATATAACGTACCTCCATGTATGTTTCAAGTTTTAATGAATCCACTTGTATAAGGAGTTGAAAACATAGGCATATAAATAGTATAATCAATTTTGGACAAGCCCCACTGAGTGGGGATTACCAGGCAGTTCCCACAGTTCCCATGCAGTCCACTCTCAAGTGTCCAGTGATTCCTCAACAAAGATGGCCGCTGCGACACTTCCGGTTCCTGCTCCTTGCGTATGACGTCACTTCCTCTTGACGCGTTTCGTCACATCCGGGACTTAGTCATAAGAGAGATCTCTCTCTTATGACTAAGTCCCGGATGTGACGAAACGCGTCAAGAGGAAGTGACGTCATACGCAAGGAGCAGGAACCGGAAGTGTCGCAGCGGCCATCTTTGTTGAGGAATCACTGGACACTTGAGAGTGGACTGCATGGGAACTGTGGGAACTGCCTGGTAATCCCCACTCAGTGGGGCTTGTCCAAAATTGATTATACTATTTATATGCCTATGTTTTCAACTCCTTATACAAGTGGATTCATTAAAACTTGAAACATACATGGAGGTACGTTATATTTTATAAACCTATGGATGTGGAAGGCATGGCAAGATCATCCTAACAGGAAGCGAAGGAGGAGAGGAGGATAAAGCTTCTTTGGAGGATTTCCAGTTATATATATATACAAAAGGCGTGAGTTTCATCTACTGGTGGTTCTTCACAACAATCAACACTGCAAGAAATAGACATTTTTTCATTTCTTTTTATTTTATTTTTATTTTTATTTTTAATTTTATATATTTTTTCGTTATTGAGACACTGGACTTTATATTATTGGATTTAAATCACAGAGACACTGGATTTATGATTTTGTAGAAAGTATATGGGGATTATTTTGTTGTCACATATATAGTAGATTTATTGAAAGAGGGTAGATTCCTGTTTGGATCTATTGATTTAAATTGTTTGTGTTATTGGAAGGAATTGTGCCCCATCATTGGACCGAACTTGGTGTCATTGGGAGGAATTGTGCCTGATCATTGGTGTCATTCAGCCCAATTGTTTGGTGTAATTGGGAGGAATCGTGGCCCATCCTTGGTATCATTGGACCCAACTGTTGGTGTCATGGGAGGAATTGTGTTCCATTGGGAGAACATTTTCCCCTTCATCGGTGTCATGGGGGCAGATTATTATTATACAGGATTTATTATACAGGATTTATGCCCTATTGTTGCTATCGGTGGATGAAATAGTGCCCCAAGGGCTGGATAAAAGCAAGCAAAGGGCTGCATCTGGCCCCTGGGGGGGGGGGGGGGGCAGTGTGGAGATCACTAGTATATAGAAAATAGGAAATATTTTAAAATCTGATACAAATTTCATAAGCACTTGGCCCTACTAACCAGCAAAGATGACCCACTAAAGCTGTGTGTTCTTAAAAATAAAAGTAGAGGTGTCATCTGCATGCAGTTGCAGATATAGGTGGAAGTGGTATGCCATACCAAGTCACCTATTTGACGCTGTCTTACTCCAATCTGAGGAATCACTGAGGTATAGATAATATTGATATATTGAGGGCTCATTCACTTCATAACATGTGTTACAACATGCATCATGACACGTGTTACCACAGCGCAAGGTGATTCACTTTAGATGTGCATTGCAATGCAAAAGTTAATTGCACCCCAACCCATATCTACAGTGTGCAGCCATGTACCTGTGTTATAGTGAGCCGCAAAGCATGGCCGCATTACACTATCCATTGTTATCTATGGACCAGGGGCGGACTGACCATTTGGAAACTCGGGCACTGCCCGAGGGCCCGGGGTCAGTAGGGGGCCCCATGAGATGCCCCTGATACCTTTTTCATAGGCTTTTTTGAGTTTGGGCAAGGACACAGGGGCCCCATGATCCCCTATTGCCCCGGGGCCCCATGAGTTGTCAGTCCGCCTCTGCTATGGACTTTTTTTCATGCATTGAGGTGCGTTGACAACCTGTGCATTTTTAATGGACTACCAAATGCAACACACCACGGTGTTACAGTTTCCATGTCTTCCATTTTCTCTGTACTTATCATATCAATGGGCCCTAGGAGAAGGCTAGGCCTCCAAACTACTACAAGATTTTATTTGGCCTCCAGCAACTGTCCTTGAAAATACCCTGGCTGGTAGTAATATGATAGGGAGATGGGCAATCCTGAATGTAAGAGGGGAACTCTGATGGGCAATACTGGATGTAAGGGGCGAACTCTGAAGGACAATCCTGGATTTAAGGGGGGAACTCTGATGGGCAATCCTGAATGTAAGGGGGAACTCTGATGGGCAATTCTGGATGTAAGGGGGAAGGCTGATGGGCAATCCTGAATGTAAGGGGGAACTCTGGTGGGCAATACTGGATGTAAAGGGGGAACTCTGATGGGCAATACTGGATGTAAGGGGGAACTCTGATGGGCAATACTGGATTTAAGGGGGAACTCTGATGGGCAATCCTGGATGTAAGGGGGGAACTCTCATGGACAATCCTGAATGTAAGAGGGAACTCTGATGGGCAATCCTGGATGTAAGGGGGAACTCTGATGGGCTATCCTGGATGTAAGGGGGAACACTGATGGGCAATCCTGGATGTAAGGGGGAACGCTGATGGGCAATCTTGGATGTAAGGGGGGAACTCTGCTGGGCAATCCTGGATGTAAGGGGGTACTCTGATGGGCAATCCTGGATGTAAGAGGGAACTCCGATGGGTAATTATGGATGTAAGAAGGAGAGGGAAACTCATGAGCACTGCTGGATGTAAGAGGGGACTCTGATGAGCAATCTTAGCTGTAAAGGGAGACTCTGGTGGGCTCCATCTTTATTGAGGTTGGGACAGAGTTGAAGCAGGGGGATGGGTATAATAGCTCCATGCGAAATGCGCCACACCAAATGTTGGGCATGACCAAATTGTGTTAGCAGTGGGAGGGGCTTACATGGGTGTGGTTTACTAACACCTGAGCCTGTTTTGTACCCAGTTTTGTACTGCAGGTCACTATCACAAGCACAGAAATCCACATCCTAACCTCATGCACAAAGTCTGCACAAGCCGAGAAGAAAGGGACTGGGAAGACCATGTAATATTAGCCCGTGACATCATCAATAACCCCGAACACAGCTGGGAGCAGACCCCCCCCCTCCTCACCTCCCTCCTCCTGCTCTAGGCCAATCAGGCTTACCCGGCAGGCAACTGGGACGAGGACACCATTAACAAAGCTGGAAAGAAATCGGGGACACATTTTAACCATGTATGAAATCAGGGACAATTGTTTCTGGAGATAGTTTCTAAAATCAGAACTGTCCCCAGAAACCGGAGACGGTTGGCTGAAGATGTAGTTTTAAATGGACTTTAATTAACAAATTGAAGCTCAACTCTAACTAAAAACATATAAGCAGCTACAGCGACCTTGGAAAAATGTTTCTACCATATAAACAAAAGTTGTCTTTTGTAAGCACCCCCGGCATTCTTATATGGAAAGTCTCAACTCCTGTAACTGCCACTTTTCCTGGACAGCTTGATATGAAAATGTGGAGAAAACCATGAAATGAACAGGAAAGGAAATCATCTTCTGAATATTATCGTTACAGGTATTAACCTCAGAATACAATATTTATCCCTAGAATGGAAAATGTAATGCTCCTTACTGAAAACAGGAAAAGAAGGACTGCCTTTCAGCACTTGGAATTCTTGCTCCAACCTTCTTCTTAGATCTATCTGTTCAAACAAAACTTTCTGGAGTTCTTCTGGAAAGAGAGCAAAACAAAAGGCCCGTCATTAGTAAGTCCTGGCAGCCCCCCTCGGCACGGGGCTATTAAATGCTCCCATTTATTATCAGAAGACAAAATATTTTATCGGCTTAAAAACCCTTTTCATGGGTCCTGGCACAGAATTGATGCATAAATCCATGAATATAAATCAATGCAATATATTATTTTAAAGTATTATATTACCCGTGTCATGTATTGATTGATATGCATGCATTAATCTCAATTATATCCACCCAAGTTCTATATATTATTCATATGTTGCTTGTCAAGCGTAAAATATGGTTCAAAAGCCAGTTGCCTGCCTAACGTAGCCACTAACCCTTTCAGCTGGGGGCTAGCCTGTGGTAAGCTGTGTTCTTCTGACGGATGGCTTTGGACCCTGGGGCAATGAAGGAGTTAATGTAAGTATTTAAAAGGCCTGCGTCACGAATAATGAAGGGCAAATAATGGACGCTAATGTGTTCAACCTTTAAGGAGAAAGAGGATAAGAAACGGTTCTGCCTGTCGTGGAATAGGCTGGGTCTAGGACGTAAGTCTGACCTTGTATGAATACTTTCCATGTCTCTTTGCCTAATGAAAGACTTCTATGGTTTGCATTGAATGGGCCATCTTGGAAAGCCAAGCAGTGCAGGTACATCTGTTGGCCTATTAAAATGAATTCGCAGAAGGTACATTTTTGATTTGATTTAGCCATGAATCAAAGCTTCGTGGGCAACTAATGCTTCTCTCTGTTGACTGCAGTTGTCCTGATCTACAACTGCCTAAGCCAATGAAGTCTTCATTTCTATTCTGGCCATTGCAGTCTCAGAGAATATTTGTCACTCTCAAATAGTGGGGCAACACAAGTTAGTTATCTGCAAAAAAAAAGTCTACAACCAATGTTGACCAATGAGTGATAATGCCATGAATCCTGCTTGGCTCGTCGAGGAGCAGCAAACATGCATGGCCACACCCAACTTCAATCCTTCCAATGCTGACCAAAGGGTGGCCTTGATGGGCACTGCATAACAGTGTTTAGCCCTGGATAGGTTTTCATTTTCTCCACATAACACATTTCAGCAGCATTATTCTTTGGAGTCCGGTGCTACACATTTCCTATAGGGTCATTTTGGGAAGGAAGCAGAACTCCCTGGGGATTCATTTACTAAAGGCAATTAGACCTCTGTAAGTGAAGATGCTCAAGAGCTTAGTAAATGAGGTAAGGCTTCGCTTTGCAAAGAATACCCAACCAAGTGCAAGGAAAATTTACAAAATTGGCATTTTTGCTTGCATGTGATTGGATGATGGAAGTCAGCAAATCATCTGCTCATTTACTAAGCTCTGGAGCAACTGCTCTTGCAGAGTTCAACTGCACTTTGCAAAGTGCAAAGTCTAATTGCATTTAGTAAATCAACCCCCTTGTCTCCCATTGCTTTTGACAAAGGATCTGTTTGGCCAACTTTAGGGTAACCAGAGTAAAAGTAAGATAGCTAACCAACAGCTAGCCATGCGGGCGAGATGTGACTTTCCACGTCATCTCTGCTGAATGAGTTTTATATACAAATATGGTCAAACACAGTGCCCTCCTACAAAGGCTGTAAGGTAAATTTAGTTTGGGGCTTCTGTTGTAGCTACAGAAGCCAGAATTGTTTTGGTTGATCTGCTCGAGACTCCACAGGCTGAGAGTTTGATTACCTTCCCCTGACTCTAGAAGCATCTGGAGATTAGGGCAGGAGGATTAAAATACTCAGCCTGAATATTTAGAAGGTTTAACTAATCCCTGGTGAGGTGTGCCAAGAAGGTGGATGGGTTCCTGTTAGGCTGGAGTCCAGAAGAGAGGGTCTCTCCCCTGAGTGGAAATGGATCCGTGAGCTTCAGGGGGCACTCCTGGGCTGGATGCTGGACTGTTTAGTTGGGGTTGCACTAATGGACTGAGTACATTCTGGGATCCCATAAACAGAGTTTTCTCCATGCTGATGTTTTCATGTTCCCCAGCTGTGAAATGTGGACTACTTGAGTCTCCTGTGACTAGCTCTGCCTTTTTGGTACATGGTGCCAAGCCATGAAATTTGGACTTCTTCAGTCTCCTATGACTTGCTCTGCCTTTTTGGTACATAGTCTCCAGCTGTGCATATATAGCCTGTCCTAGCTTACTATCACTACCTTTGTGATTACTAGTGCTACTACCAAGATGTGTTCTCCTTTAGTAATCTGTCCTGAGTATCCTGCATCACTCCCAGTCCCTTCTTCAAGTTCTACTAGCAATAAATTCACAAAAGACACCTCTAGACTGTTTATTGAGCCAGAGTGGATGGGAGGCTGCTGTGTGCCTGGCTGATTTGCAATGGCAATTTCCATTTTTCCAATCAGATCATATTTATGGTGCAGGAAAAGAAGAGTGCCAGACCAAATGTTGAAAGACCCCGAGGAGTTTATTTTCTCCTAAAATGCCAAAAGGACAACTGGCTCATGTGGAGGTTCTAAAGGGCCCTATTCATTAGGGCTTAAAACAGCTGGTAAAAATTTGGATCTGTTGGGGGCTTGGTTGACTTAACAGTTATGAAATAACTTTGTGATAAGTTGATGGTGCCTGCTCCTAATATTGCCATGCACATTGCTTGGAAGGGAATGAAAGCATTTTGCACACAGCCTTTCTGCAATTTACTGTGCATCCAGAAAGTATTCACAAAACTTAACTTTTGCCACATTTTGTTATGTTACTGCCCTATTCCAAAATGGATTAAATTCATTTTTTTCCTCAACATTCTACAAACAATACCCCATAATGACAACGTGAAAGAAGTTCGTTTTGAAATCTTTGCAATGTACTAAAAATAAATAACGAAAAAAAAAACCACATGTACATAAGTATTCCCAGCCTTTGCTCAATACTTTGTTGAAGCCCCTTTAGCACCAATTAAAGCCTCAAGTCATTTTTAGTATGATGCAACAAACTTGGCAAACTTTTTTTTGGGCAATTTCTCCCATTCTTCTTTGCAGTACCTCTCAAGGTCCATCAGGTTGGATGGGGAGCGTCGGTGCACAGCCATTTTCAGATCTCTCCAGAGATGTTCAGTCAGGTTCAAGTCTGGGCTCTGGCTGGGCCACTCCAGCACATTCACAGAGTTGGCCCGTAGCCACTCCTTTGTTATGTGGGCTGTATACTTAGGGTCATTGTCCTGTTGAAAGATGAATAGTCACCCCAGTCTAAGGTCCAGAGCGCTCTGGAACAGGTTTTCATCAAGGATATATCTGTACATTGCTGCATTCATCTTTCCTTCAATCCTGACTAGTCTCCCAGTTCCTGCAGCTGAAAGACATTCCCACAGCATGATGCTGCCACCATGCTTCACTAGAGGGATGGTATTGGCCAGCTGGTGAGTGGTGCCTGGTTTCCTCCAGACATGACGCTTGGCATTCAGGCCAAGAGTTAAATCTTTGTTTCATCAGACCAGAGAGTTTTGTTTCTCATGATCTTAGAGTCCCTCAGGTACCTTTAGGCAAACTCCAGGCGGGCTGCCATTTGCCTTTTACTGAGGAGTGGCTTTAGTCTGGCCACTCTACCATACAGGCCTGATTGGTGAAGTGCTGCAGAGATGGTTGTTCTTCTGGAAGGTTCTCCTTCTCCACAGAGAAATGCTGGAGCTCTTTCAGATCGACCATCAGGTGCTTGATTACTTTCCTGGCTAAGGCCCTTCTCCCTCGATCGCTCATTTTGGCTGGGCGGCCCACTCTAGGAAGAATCCTGGTGGTTCCAAACTTTTTCCATTCACGGATGATGGAGGCCACTGTGCTCATTGGGGCCTTCAATGCTGTAGAAATTTTTCTGTACCCTTCCCCAGATCTGTGCCTTGATACAATCCTGTCTCTGATGTCTACAGACAATTCCTTGGACTTCATGGCTTGGTTTGTGCTCTGACATGCACTGGTAACTGTGGGACCTTATATAGACAGGTTTATGCCTTTCCTAATCATGTCCAATCAACTGAATTTCCTACAAGTGGACTCCAATCAAGTCGTGGAAACATCTCAAGGATGATCAGTGGGACCAGAATGCACCAGAGCTCAATTTTGAGTGTCACGGCAAAGGCTGTGAATACTTATGTACATGTGTTTTTTTTTTTTTTTCGTTTTTTTCTTTTTAATAAATTGCAAATATTTCAAAACGAACTTCTTTCATGTTGTTATTATGGAGTATTGTTTGTAGAATGTTGAGGAAAAAAATGAATTTAATCCATTTTGGAATAAGGCTGTAACATAACAAAATGTGGCAAAAGTTAAGCGCTGTGAATACTTTCTGGATGCACTGTATGTGCAGCACTGGAGCTAAGAAAAGCTTTCAACTGTCTTCTTACTCATCAGCCATTATAGCAAAAAAACAACAGAACTGTGACATTGCCAGCCCAGACCGCTTATTACCTTTTCCCATACTTCCGACATCCTTCTTCATGGACTGGGATGTGCCATTCTCTTGACTGGCTTCTGCTGGAGAAACAAAAAAAACAGAGGAAAACATTTAATGACTTTGTTGACTTGGAATTCCATCATTTACTTTGTTTCCCTCCCTAGTCCGATTTTATGGCTGTGGAGTAATTGCCTTTTTCAAGATTAAAACGGTTTCATGGGTAGTGAAGTGACTACATAAATTTCCATTTAAGGGCCCATTCAGTAAGATACGTAGCCAAAGGCGGGAGTTAGGTGTCATCTCCCGCTCAATGGATTAACCACTCTTTTTGTCTTGGTGATGTTTCGCTTGTTTACTGGTGGCCGTAACAAAGATATTGACATATGTGGTGTGCGATGGAGATCCAATGTTTATTGTATTCTGTATTTTTATTAGTTTAATTCTGTCTTTAATGCCAACGTTTCAACAAGTTATTAAAGTATTACGGAGACGGATCGGTGAGGCAACTGTTTGTTGGTGACCCACTGAGAAGATGATGCAAAAGTTAATTAAACGCTTTATGGGGCAGATATCCCACTATCAAGTCCTTTTTAAAATTTTGTTGCCTTTCTGTATTGTTTTTATGTTTATATAATCCAAAAAGCATGCAATATGGAAATGGTGAAATTGTTGTTATTTGAAGAATATTAACACAGGAGATGCACTGATGGTTGTGTTTATATTTTATATTTCCCATGGGTAAAGGGATGTTGAGCCATTTTAGCCGGTGAATAATTGAGTGGTAAAAGGCTAGAATAGGAAGTCAACAACACTCTGATATTGTGTTGCCTTAATTTGAAATTTTATCAAAATTGCTGATAAAATTGTTACAGAATCAGAATTCGTGATTAAGCCAAGAATAAACAAAGGTTAGATTTGCTACCGTATCGAACAATGCGCAAATGTCAAGAGGCGCAAATACCAGGAACACCCATGTAGTGGCGGGTTACCAATATGTGCAAAATTCCACAAACTGCGTAAAATGAAGTCCATTAAATTAAGTTTTTTTTTTTTTTTAAATCAGCACCTATTTATCTAATAATATTAATATTTTTAATGGCCAACAGTAATCTTTAGGCTCCACTCACACGGGGAGTTTTAATAACGCTGGTAGTGTCAGCTGTGTAAAGTCACATTACAAATGTGAGTTTTTCAGCATTTTTTTATTAGTGTTTAGCCGCCTTTTTCCGCATTTTTAGCATTTTTTTACACAAAAAAAAGTCCAAAAATGCCACCGCATTTTACCATGTTTTTCAGCGTTAGATCGTTTTTCCAGCTAAAAAAATTCCTCTAAAGACTCACTAGTTCTGTGACATTTTTGCTCATCTCCCACTCAATGGATTAACCACTCTTTTTGTCTTGGTAAAGTTTTGCTTGTTTACTGGTGACCGTAACAAAGATATTCCTCTAAAAACCCACTATTTCTGTTTTTTTTTTTCCAGCCAAAAAACGATGATTAAAGCTCATGTGTGCAGGGACACATAGGATAACATGCTGGGGAGTTTACTGGCTGTAGAAAAAAACGCCAAAAGCCAAAAACAGCCGCTGTAAAAACGTCCCGTGTGCATGAGGACTTACAGTGCAAGTATTTGACAATCTTGGTCCTTTTAATTTTGTACGGAAAAACCCTAGGGCCATCCTAAAATGTATTTTTTTTAAATTTAAAGAGTTTCAATGTCATAAATCTGAGATAGAATAGCCCCTAGTTTTTTTTTTTTTTTTTTTAGTAATCTCAGAATTCAGATTTGGAAACTTGGAATTTTAATAAATCTGAGATAGAATGGCCCCTAGTTTTTTTTTTTTTTTTTAGTAATCTCAGAATTCAGATTTGGAAACTTGGAATTTTATTTAATAAATTTGAGGGTGGTCCCATGGCTTTTCTGTAAATTTTGCAGCCATCAATGTCAATGTATATTTGAAATGTATCGCCACTTAAGAAAAAAAACTGGAATGTGCAATGTTTACATATTTTGACTTTAAAAATTCTTGTATTGCATTTCTATATAATGCTCTTTTATTTATTTTATATACAAAAGAGAAAGAGGAAAAATGGGATAGTCAAGTCATTACATATGCTTCCTACAGGTACCACATCCTCCAATATTGTACATCATAAGAGCTTCATTCCAAACAAGAATTATTAGGACTTTAAAGGTACCGAAATTACTAGTCTTATGTATAAAAATATCCAAAATTTTATTATAACAGTTTAAAAAAATAAAATTTTTATTTTAATTGTTAGAATAATATTTGTATGCATAAGACTGGTAATTTTGGTACCTTTACAGTCCTAATAATTTTTTTTGGAGGGAGCCTGTTAAGATTTTTTTATTTATTTTGTTGTATATGATATTTATTAAGAAGAACTGTGGCATCACAATAAATAAATATATTTGTGTTATACAAGCTATTGCTATAAACCATAAATGAGAGAAAGAAAAGCTACAAAACATACATACCCATATGGAAGAAAAATATATTTGAAATATATGTTAAAAATATTTTTTCCAAATATATATACATATATTTGAAATACTACAATTTTGGCCGTATTCAATATATTTATATATATATACTGCATGTTGAAATGCATTTTTACTACAAAATATATGAAAAATATTTAAAATAAAAAAATCAAATATACTGTATGTCTTTAAAAATACAAATCTACATTTTTGGAATGCATTTACAAATATATGTTAAAATGACTTTTTTATATGTTGAAAAAAAATATATTTTTTTAAAAATATTTTTCATATATTTTGTAATATATTAAAAATGCATTTTTATATATATAGATATACTGCATGGTGACATTTTTAGACTCCAAAAAAGATAGTAAAAATAGCAACGTAAAAAAAATGAAATAGGAAGTGAATATTTTTTGCTTTCTTCCTATTTTATTATATAAATGTTGAAGATTTAAAATTTAAAAAAATATCAAATAACAGCAAAATACCCCTAAAAAACATGTTTACACTTTTGCTATTTTTACACCTATTTCATACCTAAACAAACTTTACCCAAAACAAAGATAGAAATATAGAAAAGTGATGGCAGAAAAGAGTCCAAGTGGTCCATCGACTTTATTGTGTGCATAAAGATCTACACTATATTGCCAAAAGTATTGGGCCCGCCCTCCAAATCATGTGATACAGGTTTTCCAATCCCCTCCATGGCCACAGGTGTATAAAATCCAGCCCCTAGGCATGCAGACTGCTTCTACAAACATTGGTGAAAGAATGGGTCGCTCTCAGGAGCTCAGTGACTCAAAGCGTGGTCCTGTGATAGGTGGTCACCTGTGCAATAAGTCCATCCATGACATTTCCTGGCTACTAAATATTCCACGCTCAACTGTTAGTGGGATTATAACAAAGTGGAAGCAACTGGGAACAACAGCAACTCAGCCACCAAGTGGTAGGCCACGTCATATGACAGGGCGGGGTCAGTGCATGCTGAAGCGCACAGTGCGCAGAAGTCGCCAACTGTCTGTCAATAGCTGAAGACCTCCAAACTTGGTGTGGCCTTCAGATGAGCCCAACAACAGTGTGTAGAGATCTTCATGGAATGGGTTTCCATGGCCGAGCAGCTGCATCCAAGTCTTACATCACCAAGTGCAATGCAAAGCGTCGGATGCAGTGGTATAAAGCACGCCGCCACTGGACTCTAGAGCAGTGGAGACGTGTTCTCTGGAGTGACCAATCACGCTTCTCTGTCTGGCAATCTGATGGACGTGTCTGGGTTTGGTGGTTGTCAGGAGAACGGTACTTGCCTGACTGCATTGTGCCAAGTGTAAAGTTTGGTAGAGGGGGGATTATGGTGTGGGTTTTTTTTCAGGGGTTGGGCTTGGCCCCCTAGTTCCAATGAAGGGAACTCTTAAGGCGTCAGCATACCAAGACATTTTGGACAATTTCATGCTCCCAACTTTGTGGGAAGAGTTTGGGGATGGCCCTTTCCTGTTCCAACATGACTGCGCACCAGTGCACAAAGCAAGGTCCATAAAGACATGGAGGAGCCAGTTTGGGGTGGAGGAACTTGACTGGCCTGCACAGAGTCCTGACCTCAACCCCATAGAACACCTTTGGGATGAATTAAAGCGGAGACTGCGAGTCAGGCCTCCTCCGCCGACATCAGTGCCTGACCTCACAAATGTGCTTCTGGAAGAATGGTCCAGCCTTCCCATAGACACCCTCCTAAACCTTGTGGACGGCCTTCCCAGAAGAGTTGAAGCTGTTATAGCTGCAAGGGCGGGGCCAACTCAATATTGAACCCTACGGACTAAGACTGGGGGCCATTACAGTTCATGTGTGTGGAAAGGCAGGAGACCAATACTTTTGGCAATATAGTGTATGTTTGTCTCAAGAAAACTACATTGGGGCTTCCCATTCCACTCGGGTGACAATAGCTTGTTGAACCAAAGCTCTGCAATAGCTTGTCGACACGAAGGGTCACAAGTGACCACCCCCGCCCCCCCTTATTGACTTCAATATAATTTCAAATTTCAGTTTGCCAAATTTTTCTTGATTCGCTCGTCACGAGTGGCACTGGATGTTGTTACCCTGTCATTAGGGCTTCCGAAGGATTGGAGACTACAAATGGCTACACAGGTAATAAGACTACAATTAGTTACATAGTTAATCTGTCTGAAAAAGACAAAAGTCCATCCAGTTCAACCATAGAAAAAAAAAAAAAGTTATAATCCTATACCCCCAGTTGATCCAGAGGAAGGCAAAAAAAAAAAAAAACCCCAGTTGGCCGTTGGAAGCTTGCTGTGATCAAGCACATGCCTTTTATTGAATGTTAAACATATCACAAATGACATTTCATTCAACTCTATGCATTGCAATGCGCTGAGATGTGTTTGGGATCTAGTGATGTGCCTTGCGCTGTGTAAAAATGCTGCTTTCTACACAATGTGACATCACTCATGTATGGTGTAAACGGGGGCACACAGAAAACAGCTGCTTTCTAGTTCCCATTATGTTGAGATTGCATTGAATAACGCTGATAACAAAAACATCTTGGCTCCTTTGACATAATA